AACTCCTCTATGAGTGATGAAGGTTCCTTGATGCAAGTGCCAGACTGTGAAGCCAATCCATAAGCAGTATGTTTAGAAAAGGAACCTTTTGAATCAAACCTATTACGAAGCCTCGCCCAGAAGAAGAGTGCACTGCTGCCGCCGGGTGCTCCTCCTTTCGTTACATGGCACTCTTCCTTTAGGCGAGGTATAATGCGCTGAATAGGCAAACAAGTGGCAGTTATTCTTCTCATTTAAAAGTAACAAAATGAGTTGGAAAAAGCTCAACATCAATCATTATCTACGAACATCTAGTCTCTCTCGCTTACTAAATAGTGACTTTCAGTCGTGAGTAGGCTCCACCATACGACTGAGAACCGCAGATGCGACATCAGTAAGTTTAAGGTTTGGATGAGTCCTCAACTCCCGGAAGTGGCATAACTGCAGAGTGAAAGGAAGAACTTCACATTGCTCGTAGATGTCAAAGTGTGTGTCGCACGAAGAGCTCGAATTCTATCACCGAACTGACGTCCCCACCAACAATTAGGGTACGGTTCCCTCCTGACTATGCTTCAGCTGCTACTCCCAACACACCACGTAGCAGGCAGAGTTGCGAAAATTTTTTGACTGATGAATTTCTCTATTTTCCCGTTTCAGCCACACTATATACCCTCTCCCCCTCCCCCACTCGAAACCATTGCATGCATCTAGAAGCAAATACTTTGATGGAAGACCTTGATTCTATTGCCATCAAAGGAAAGAGTTCACACACTGAGAACCCAAAACTCGGCCTTAAAGCAGTAAAATGTGATGAAAAGGTAGCGCAGATGGTATCTGATCTGTTTTAGCTGATTAGATCACGTGTCACTCGTCATCAATGTCCTCATCACTAAATCTCTATGATTTGGTAGCGTGAGAAGCCTTGAACAGCGACGACGATTGCAACTTCCCTTATCAGCCCCTATCAGTAGTTATCGCTTCCAGTCACCCACGGTTGATGTCCCCATCTTACCCTCTATATCATTTGCTGAAACGTACGCCTTGCTGATGCTGTGAACACGATGCCTTCACCTTTCTAAGGCCCCTTATTGAATCTCATCGGCAGCTTACAGTTCTTGTCACCCACCAATAATGTTCTTGGCCCATACCCTTATCATATCTTGGAATCAAGAGCTAGCTGATGCTGTCATCCGCGTTATGAATATGGTAACCTTCTCCTTCTAACGCCCCTTATCGAATCTTATCAGCAGCTTACAGTTTTTGTGACCCACTAATGATGTTCTTGGCCCATACCCTATATCATATCTTAGAATCAAGAGCTAGCTGATGCTGTCACCCGCGTTATGAATATGGTGACCTCTTACTTCAACGCCTCTTATCGAGTCTAATCAACTGATTCACTTCCTGTCACTCACCAATAGTGCTCCCACCGCTACATCACTTGTCGAAATCAATGTCACGCTGTTACTAGTGGGACCGGCGCTATGAATTTTGTGACAGATGATGAATTTTGTGACAGATGATATATACATGATAAGTACAGAAAATGATTTAAATGAGTGACAAGAGGTAACAAACGGCATTATAATAGATGTCACCAAGTTCATAGCTTACACCGCCACTGGGACGCTGGTTTCCAGGATATAGGGACAAAGCGGAAACATCGCTGGTGGATGTCAGGAAGTGATAGCAACTGATGAATCTGATAAGGGGCATGGGAACGGAAGCTCCAGAGAATTGGCTGCCTGCATGGTAAGAAAGTGTCAGAAAGGATGAATGGATATAGCTGGCGGTATGGAACTATTCGATTATAGCTACCAACCAGTCGGATCGCCCGGCTAACGCCGAGCTCTCCTCCTTCTCTTTAGCTGGCTTGGCTTCGCCAGGCGCACTTCATGATGGAAACGGAAATTGCTCACTCACTTAGCTGTCATACTGCACTGTTTTGATCGAATCGTAATAGATGGAGCATCCCACGCACGAGCTCACGTCCAGCTGTCAAGCCAGCAGCATGCTCCTACTGAAGCGCGCGCTAGGCACCCCCCCCCCACCGTACCCCCTTCACCCGACCCTCTTTCCCGATCTCCCTCACCTGCTTTTCAGTTCCGACAGAGCACATACAGGGCTGGAAAGCAGGAGGAGAGGGTACAAACTATTCCCTCTCTTCCACCCGGACCCAGCCTCCCGCACGACCCCACTCCCAGCTGCCACGCAGCTTCTGCAATGGCTTGAAGTGTAGTAAATGGTTTTCTTATATTGTTGAGGGTATCATCACAATCAAACCGACATCTTGATTTGCTACTCAATTATTTATTAGCTTGCACTTTTGCTAGCGGTTGTATCCTCTTCTCTTGCTGCATGCATTCAAGCGTGCGCTACGCACTCCCCCTTCCTCCGACCGCCGCACCCAATTCACCCACCCCATTACTCCTGCCTCAGTCCCTGCACGTGCTAGTCCAGCTGAGCACGTGCAGGGGAAGAAGGCAGAAGGGAGGACCCCTCCATCCCACTCCTGCCCCTGCCCCGCACGAGCACACGTCGAGCTGCCACCCGAGCAGCTCGTGCAATGGCTCGGAGCGTACCGAATGGTTGTCTTATATATGCTGTTATCACAATCAAAACATTGGATTGATACATCTGCACCAATCGGTTCCCGGTTTGTCTAGCGGTCGTTTTCTCCTTTCACTAACCTGTTTCAATCCCGTGAAGCATTTTGCGGACGGACAGACATACAAACATACTTACATACATACATACCGACAAACCGACACACAAAGTTAGTGCTTTATAGAATAGAAGGATAGTGTCAGTCGTAGCTTCGCTTTTTTTTCTTTACCACCCTCCTACGATTGCTGTGATTCCCTCCTCGAAGGTACAGTGAATGGACATGCTTCATCACTTTCCGATGGCTAAGGAATTAGAACCAATTCGACCGCTAGTTTCACCAGGCAATGCGCGCGGTGATGCGTCTGGAGCAGACCGTTCCAAACGTAGGAAGTACTGAATAATGCTTTTGATTCGGCGTCAAGAAGAACATGAAAAGTTTCTTAGAAAGGGAAAAGCGGAATCAGAAATTCGGTTACGCAGGCCAGACAGTGACAAAAAGGGATTACATTGAGAGGTTGGAGGGAGAAATGGGGTGTCCGCAAGGATGGACCCAGTGGGCGGCATTCAAGTCAAAAGAGTGTATCGCTTCTAGAGCCTTGCAGAGGCTGAAAATGGAGAATGGTCAACAAAAGAATGGTGGTGAGCAGATGGAGGCACATCTGCAAGGGCCCAGTGATCTTTGATGGAAGAACTTTTTGAATTATCGCGAGAACGCTAAGATATTGGCAAAAGTCGGACCGAGAACGGGACTCGAACGCGCATGTCCTTTACTGAGCAATTGCGTTATCTATTACGCTATCGGTGCCACTCTTACCTTCTCATCTTAACGGAATTTCGTGCCATAGAATTGTAGCAGTCACACATTCAGCGTGGTGTGCCAGTTAGCCGTTATCGACAGTGAACCGCGATGCTGAAGGCTTTTTCATGTCTTAAAGACAGCTCCCGCGATTAAAGTGTCTTGGATAGTTGCTTTTCAATTATGAAACAGTAGCTGATAAGTAATCTCCCAAAGAAGAAAACAAGCAAGGAAGCGTCCTCCAGAACAACATAAACAAAATCGCTCCCTCATAGTCACTTCCCTGTGCAACCTCTAGCTCACAAATCTCTCTATCACATCTCGCAAAGTTGATATCATCCAGTGCAAAAAAAAGAATACAAAAAAACAACAAAAACGCAGAGGAAAAACTCTTGGAAGGAAAAAGAAATTTAAACTCGGTGTCCGAATTTTGGGTTACGGTAGCGCACATTTTAGTGCACTGAAGTGCGTCGAGCTTTTGCACCACGAAAATTGCGTCACTCGTGATTTTTACGCGTTTCACCTCGCGAAATGGGTTGAGTTGAATGTATATGCCCCCATGAGTAAACTGTAATAAAGGAGAGCAGAATTATTATGGGCACGAGCGCGGTCAGCAAAAAGGACATGCAATTCCGATTAATGCCCGCCGCCCCAACTAAGAACAACTGAGTGGCCCTCGTCGGAGGGCATCTAGCAAGTAAGGCGGTCCAACTGAGCAGGCGTTAGAACTAGAACTTTGAGCGGCTGTAGCTCGCTCCCCGCTCACTGTGGAGTCGAATAGAGTGGGACAGTCTCTAGCTTGGGGGCTGTACTACTTGCACAAGGAAGGACGATCATGTACTACTCGAGCGCGGGGGCTGTCTTCAAGACTGCTATTTACGCCGCTGTGCGCGCTCCGAAAGTCATCATAAGGATGCTGAGATATTGACAAAAGTCGGATTCGGGACGAGACACGTGTTCCGTAGCTCCTTCAAATTACTTTCAGGGCAGTCTGGAGAAAATTAACTAGTTTCTTCTGATGCTAACCAATTTTTTGTGGCACTGAGTTCAGCTCACATAATCTTGTCCACCGTTCGTTAGAAACTCTTGGTAGCACCAAGGGTTTCTAACGAACGGTGGACAAGATGGTTGACGTAGGTGCTCCTTCTGCCCCCTGTTAATTTGCAGCTCTCGCTCGCTTCTATTACGTTTTCAGCTGCTCCACGTGCAAATTTTTCAACGGCTTACAGAAGAGCTTTGCTTTCTTGATAACTTTGATTGTTCTGCGTTTTCTGCGTTTTGTATTGCGTTTGACTTTCACATATTAACGAACTGTATATCGCTTGTACTTTCCATCTCATTTTTTTAAGATCCCTTCCCACACCGCATTTAGTTCTTTCCTCAACTTGGTTGGTGATGACAGCTGATGAAACCTGATAAGAGGCATGGCAGCGCTAGGGCTACCAGTATTGTAGCCAGTTTTGCACGAAAAGTGGCGCGTTGGTTCGAACAAAGCGATCTTACTACAAAACGCTAATTTTGCCTGTTGAATATCTTCTTAAAACCACATGGAGAGCGCTCTGAAAATTAGCTCAAGATTTCGCATCAAGAAAATATCTCATTGAGGGAAATTTGAAACATGAAATGCTTATCAACCAAACGACATAAATGTAATACACATTACAGGGCCACACCAACCACGAGTGTGACATTCATCTCTACCACATTTCCAACCACAACTACACGAACGACCACCGTCAGTGAAATTACCTCAACTGCTGCAATTACGTCCACAACGTCCACGTCCACGACGTCCACGTCCACGACGTCTTCGTCTCCTGCAATGGGCGCGACTACCACCAGCCATAGCACTACTTTGACAACTTCTTCTGAAGATTCCACTATCGCCACAGAGTCTTTGGAAGAAGGTGGAACTTCAACTTTCGTAAGCTTGAGGGTGAGCTTCAGATGTCACCTCTAAACTTCAAAATTCAAGTGCCGCAATGTAAGATCAGCTGGCAAGCTGGTGCCTTCCTCGTCTCTCGTAACAAACCTTGCCCCTATTTTTTTAAAAGGCCACAATCGAGTTCCGATCCTACTTACCAAAGGCAGCCTTCATAACGAGCCAGCATTAAGTTCTAAGGTAAGAAAATAGAAACAAGGGTAGTGCTATTCCACTCAGAAAAAGTGAATAAAAAAGGCGAATGCGCTCCAAACTAGGCCGCAGTTGTCGGCCAAAGCGAGAGACGAAGTATCGATGTACTCGGCTGGAAATAAACTCCTGCGATACTCTGACCAGAAGTCGAGCACTTTTTGGAGAACGGTTTTCTGCATGATGTGGGGTCACGTGCGTAGAGCATCAGACAGGTTCACTTATCCTGGACGCCTTTGGCAATACAAAAGAGGAGCGAAAGAGAAACCCGTTGTTTTTGAGTCTCTATGGGCTCCACATCACACAATTTTGACCAGTTACTAAGTGGAGGGTCCTTATAGAGGGACTATTGCAATCGAGGAGAAAAGTAGTCTTAGATGGAGTCCTGCTCGTAGCACGTGATTGAGAGCGAACGGCTCATTGGGATGGTTTAATCAACAACCAGAGCTGTGATCAGCAACAAGATGAGATGGCCTAGTGTATAGCGTGGAGGATTCTCGAGATATTCGCCATTTATAGGCACACCAGTCGGATCGCCCAACTAATGCCGAACTCTAATCCATCTCTTTTCCCTCTTTAGCTTCGCCGAGCCAGCCTCCGTAATGGTACAGAACTTTTTCAATAGTGAACCGCTCGTATAGCGCTATTGTGATCGAATCGTAACAGATAGAGCTAAGCTGCGGATTGCACTCCTTAGCACACGCTTATATTTGCAGGAGAGGTGTGGTCAGCGCCATAAAGCCATACAATACATAGATGTAGATATACATACGATGTGCAGTTGGCCAATACACTAAGAGAATCGTTCCCATTATCTGCACCGAAGTGCCTACAAATGACCGCTTCTCTTTCCAATTACTATGCAACCAGCTCGCTGAACTGTTATTATTGCTAGGTAATATACTCCCTTATTATTCACCAGTCGGATCACCCGGCTGCTGGGCACTCTTTCCTTAGGCGAAGTAGAGTGTGCAAAATACGCCTAACCGTCATAGTGCATTTTCCAGCAAAATGTAGGATTGAAAATAGCTCGAGCAATGGGTTAAAGTTGAATCTGGCCAGAGGATCGTGCAACATACAGCGCTTTGTTACTTCCGAAATTCTAATGACATCAAAAGAAAGAGCCTGACGCCCCTTATCCAATCTTATCAGATGCTGGCAGTTTTTGTCACCAACCTAGTGTTCCTTTCCTAAACCCTACATCGTATCTTGGAACCAACCTCCTACTGTTGCTGTGACTCGCGTGATGGACTCAGTGACCATACCCTTCTAACATCCCTCGAATCTTATCAGCAGCTGACAGTTCTTGTCATCCACCAATAATGTTCCTGTCCCATACCCTAAATCATATGTTGGAATCAACACCTGGCTGATGCTGTGACCCGCATATGGTGAGAGTTCCATTCTGAGGCCTCTTATCAGATATTATCAACTGATATCAACTTCACTTCCTATCACCCACCAATAGTGTTCCCGTCACACCCTCTACGTCACTTCTTGGAACCAATATCTCGCTGCTACTGGGACCGGCGCTATGAATTTCGTGTCAAAGAGACAGACGCACACGCACGGACATAGTCGATTATATATGGTAGAATTGTAACCGTTGTCCCAATGTAACGCTGAAATCTATCCTTTTGTCCATTCTTTTCTCGGGGTTAGTACCAAAAATCTCCATAACCATCACACGAAAATTCTGTAAGAGCAGCCTTCGAAGCATCCTACCGCTCAATGCGTTCTCCACCACTGTAGGGTTTTTTCTGGAATGCACTCCCGCATTCGGCAGTCTTGCGCTTCGAATGGTCCTCTCTCGGGTTGTTGATGGAAGATAATCATGGTCATAGTGATAAAGTTAGTTGCTGCAGTTCATGGCAACTGAGTAAACAACCGTCATGCATCTGAACTCCAGTTGCTTTAGCGGCCGTACATGATGTCGATAGCGGTAAGAGCATAGGAGTGAGTTGTGTACGAACTACTGAGAGCCTGATACCTGTCATATCAATCGCATTGTGGCAGTAAGCGGTGTTGCGGATTCCCGCATGATGACGCTTTCAACCCTTATCAGTTGCTGTCACTTAGTCACTGTCAGTGGGTTTCCGCCCCCCTCCCCCTATACCACTTCTTTGAACCAAGGTCCCACAGACCCTGCAACCTGCCCTACAAAGTTGGTGACCCTCCATCTAAGGCCCCTTATCGAATCTTATCAGATGTTATCAGCTTCTGTCACACACCAATCATGTCCACTTCCCTTACCCTATACCACATCTTGAAATCAAGGTCCCACGGTCGCTGCAACTGCGCTACGATTTCGGTCACCCTCCCCTTCTAAGGCCCCTTATCGAATCTTATCAAGTGTTATCACCTCCTGTCACCCACCAAAAGTGTTCCCGTCCTGCCATGTATATCACTCCTTGAAATCAAGGTCCCGCAGCTGCTGCAACTCGCGCTACGATTTCGGTCACCCTCCCCTTCTAAGGCCCCTTATCGAATCTTATCAGGTGTTATCACCTCCTGTCACCCACCAAAAGTGTTCCCGTCCTGCCATGTATATCACTTCTTGGAACTGTCATCCTATCTTTTCTGCGACGCTCGCTATGAATTTCGTGACAGACAGACAGACGCACACACAGACACACACACACACACACGGACATAGCCGATTATATATAGTAGGATACTATCTCATCAGTAACTAGAAATCCGAAAGTAAAAGGGCTGTAGAACGCATGAAGTGCTATTGTTATTATTGCATTATAGCTATTTAGGATTTTGATTCCTGATCGGGTAATTTCTCCGCCGGTGTTTGTTTTCTATTTCAGGCGAACTAGATACCCCCCCCCGCTCGCCGATCGCCAACATCGGCATTATTATATAGTAGTAGGATAGTGGGATGAGTTCATTATCAATTTATTATCTAGTGTCAACAAGAAGTGATGGCTAAATTAACAGTTTGCTCTACTACTTGGTATTATGGTGGTGAGAAGTGATAAAGTTGTAGTGCGAAGGTGTCTTATCAGATTTTCTTTGTTGATATGACTATCTGTCACCCAACCAATGTTCTTATTACAAAATTTTGATAATCTGGTAGTGTAAAAGCTGAATCACCTCGAAAACCAACAACGACTGCAACGTCCCTGTCAGTAGTTACTGCTTCTAGTCACCCACCGTCGATGTCGCAATCTCCTCTTCTATATCTAGTGCAAACAAACGCCTTGCTAATGCTGTGACCTGCGCTGTGAATACGACGGCTTTACCCCTCCAACGCCCCATATCCGATCTTATCAGCGGATATAACTTGCTGTCACCCACTTATAAAGTTCCTGGCCTATTCCATCTATGGCGCAGTTTATCGACGGGGGGGGGGGCATTTTGCTTTCCATAGATGTGTCGACCCATCTAGGTAGCGTTTTCTTGAGTTGACACGTTTTGGGATGGTGGCTAGACGATCCTGCTCCAGCTTTACAAGAGTTCACAAGTTTTACCAAAGTGAGATTTGCAAACCGGAACAAGGGAAGCAGTGATAGTACAAAATGCCCCCCCCGTCGATAAACAGCGCCTCCATCTATCATACCTCGAAAACAACAGGTAACTGATGCTGTCACCCGCGTTATGAATATGGTGACCTTCCCCTTCTAACGCCTCTTATCGGATCTTATCAACTGATATCACTTCCTGTCACCCACCAATAATGTTCCGTCCCATCTCCTATATTATATCTTCGAATCAAGAGCTAGCTGGTGCTGTCACCCTGTTATGAACATGGTGACCTTCCCTTCTAACGCCTCTTATCGGATCTTATCAAGCTGATATCACTTCCTGTCACCCACCAATAGTGTTCCCGTCACACCCCTACATCACTTCTTGGAACCAATGTCTCACTCTACTGGGACGGGCGCTATGAATTTCGTGACAGACAGACGCACACACACACACACACACACACAAGCACTCTCACAGACATACTTAGTGGATTATTTATAAAAGGATTCTCAACCCATTCGCGACCAGGCGCGTTTTTCGAAAACGGCTCGTTCGGACCGGAGCATTTGCGAGCTCTCAGCAAGTGTCCGCCACCAGTGGTGGACACGGTCCTTCCAAAAATGATATCCGTATGTCCTGCGGTGCAATATGGTGCCAATGCGCGCTAATTCAGTGCTATAGTCTTTCCCTCGAAAACCCGTGTAAGCTTGCATATTGAGGTGGCTCAAAACCTCCTGGTGGCAAGGAGGTTTTGAGCCGAGCGGAAGTGTACTCGTGTTCAAAAGGTCAAACCAACTCAGGAAACGACTGCTAAGCCAAGTCTGTCCACATAGCAAGAAAAATGGTTTCGGAAGGCTGAGGCAGTAAAGGGATGACAGTGCCTGTAGTTTTTTCACCGGCGCTCTTCAGACTTGCACTCGCCATCGCCTTTTTTTTCACAAACGTCGCAGCTGTTGTGCATTCAAAACCGATCACAAATAAGGCATTGGTTTTTATCTTGGCAGAGCGCTAAATGGCATGAGAGCCACGCTCTGAAAAGACTGTAGAATGGAGGAAGAGTGATTCTCTCCTCCTAAAGTAAGCTCAGCATCGCATTGATAACCCTTGTGCCCTACGCTAACGTTCCTGCTAAAAATGAATGTCATATCAATAATAAGGACAGCGAATAACCCCAGTATCCAAGTTCCCATCAATTTGGGTGGAAGAGGTGATAGCATCAAATTGGCGCCAGTTGGCGCTGGGACCTGTAGTGAACGTCATATTCGTGACCAGACCAACAAAAAGCCCTAGTATGTAACTTTTCCTGAAGTTTGGTGAAAAAAGGTAGTGGTGAGTTGGCGCGGCACCAT